TCCAAAGTCTTTCATGGTTAAGGTGGTACTTGAACTCATGGTCTGCTGCTCTCTAGCATGGTCTGCTGCTCTCTTAACCACTCAATCAAACTGGCTCTCTCTCATTACTTATTCATAAGCATTTTGCTTGCACAGCTATATTTTGAAATTCTGTGGCTTAATGAATTAAATAGGTTGTATAATACATGCAGTAGCTACAAGCAGAGGATTGACAAGACAGCTTATTATGAGTTGAGGTAAGTTGCTTCCACTCACTTTCCCTTTTGACATAACTTTTGTATACTTGCAAAGCCCATCCCATGTTTATTTTGAAAACAAAAACAATCCATATACCCAATCTGACAAAAAAACCATGTAAATGTGGCACTTTTGCAATTTTGGTTTCAGAGCTAACTTTCAGAAAAATGAGCAATGAGAATAGAACTGAAGGCATGACATTTGATAAGAAATATTTATGTAAGTACTGCTTACAATACTGCTTACAATAAAAAATAAATTGTCCCTATTTTTTATTCTCTTATTCAGTAAAATACTCTTTAACATGTTTAAGAATATAATTCCTCAACTCAGTGTGTATTTCTTGCTTTAATATGTGTATCACAAACAGTACCTTCTGTAAGGCAAAGACATTCTCATAATTATATTGAGCAAATTAATGAAAGAACACTCACCTTGAAAAGTTTTGCCTTTAATGTATTCATCATCGCTCATCACATCTGTCCCTGTAAATCCCATTTCCTATTCTATTCATTAGATGCAGCAACCTGGAGCTTTAGTGATTACCGCCACACTTTTCCCATGGCCTTCTCACCTCTCATCTCACCCTTAAGTACCCCATTCCCATTGTTTATCATCTGTTCTCTTCTCCTGGAAACTGCTGTTAGAAGTTCACTTATCCCTAATCTTGCCTGCTGCCTTTGATATTCTTTCTAATCCAACAATCTGTCAACTAGGGCATCAACCCATGTCCAGGCCAGCTGCTCTCTCCCAGGCTTCATACAAAATGTTCAGAGGATTCTGATCCAGCAAGAAAAACTTGAAGCAAATAATTAATGTTGATTCGATCAAAGCTCATGACTTTAGTGTGCTATTAAGTAGGGGACTGAAGAAAACTAACTTTTTAAAGTTTAAACTTGGCTGTTAATACATTAATGAAATTCTGGTCAATGTGTAAAGGGACATGATTAAAGAAAGTAAATGCATGAGGAAAGAGAGGAAGCTTTTTTAACTAAAAAAGGGCAAAGAAAACTGTTCACATGCAAACCTGCTTATACATAGAACGTTCTTTCTCATATGCAGTTTTAAAATGAAGTTTATTAGCAAGCTTCTTCAAGAAAGCATAAGGTGAGAATAATAAACATAAATAAGCAGCTAAATTATTTTACTATAACTATATATCAGAAAGACAGGAGGGCAGAGTGGATCTTTGTTCTGTAATTTAGAGGTAACATTTATTGATCTTCTGTATCTTAGCAGCATTATGACAAACAGATGGTCCCCAGATAGTGGCCAATGCCTGTGTTCAAGGTAACCTGGTATTTAGTGGGAGGGTTCACATATTCAGGCCTGTTGTGAGGACTGTCATTAGGCATTTACTGGATAAAGTTCTTCAGATCCACTTAAAATTAAATTCAGACAGGATACATTTATATGAATTTTGTCCTATATCTGCCAAATGGTTGACCCTACAGCTCCCAAGGAAGTGGATAGGATCCTTGGGATTATTGACTTAGCTACCTGCTTATTAGATCCATCCCCCTCTTGGTTAGTTAAGACTTCCTGGAAAATGAAGTATTTTTTAAAGATTCAGAGTATTAATTCAGAGTATCATTATCTGTAAAGCAGCTTTAAACCATTCACCCATCAACTCAAACTGTTTTCTGATAGTTTGACGGACAGAATCTTTCTTAGCCTTGCTATATAAAGGGAGACTAAGAATTAATCTTATGACTTAGAAGTTGAACATGTGGATAAGGTTTGTACATTGCAATAATTCATGCTTGGTTTAATAGTAACATTAAGTTAACTAGAATCAGCTAATTTAACAAAACATAGTAAACCAAAACCAAATCTTAATATGAGGCTTGAACCATCTCACTGTTCATAAAGCAATGTTGATTATACACTGCTCAAAAAAAATAAAGGGAACACTTAAATAACACAATGTAACTCCAAGTCAATCACACTTCCGTGAAATCAAACTGTCCACTTAGGTAGCAACACTGATTGACAATCAATTTCACATGCTGTTGTGCAAATGGAATAGACAACAGGTAGAAAGCATAGGCAGTTAGCAAGACATCCCCAATAAAGGAGTGGTTCTGCTGGCTGATAGTTTGTTCACTTTTGAATGCTGGCAGTGCTTTCACTCTAGTGATAGCATGAGACGGAGTCTACAACACACACAAGTGGCTCAGGTAGTGCAGCTCATCCAGGATGGCACATCAATGCGAGCTGTGGCAAGAAGGTTTGCTATGTCTGTCATCGTAGTGTCCAGAGCATGGAGGCGCTACCAGGAGACAGGCTAGTACATCAGGAGATGTGGAGGAGGCCATAGGAGGGCAACAACCCAGCATCAGGACCTCCACCTTTGTGCAAGGAGGGACAGGAGGAGCACTGCCAGAACCCTGCAAAATTACCTCCAGCAGGCCACAAATGTGCATGTGGCTGCTCAAACGGTCAGAAACAGACTCCATGAGGGTGGTATGAGGGCCCGTCGTCCGCAGGTGAGGGTTGTGCTTAAAGCCCAACACCATGCAGGACATTTGGCATTTGCCAGAGAACACCAAGATTGGCAAATTTGCCACTGGCGTCCTGTGCTCTTCACAGATAAAAGCAGGTTCACACTGAGCACATGGGACAGACATGACAGGGTCTGGAGATGCCGTGGAGAACGTTCTGCTGCCTGCAACATCCTCCAGCATGACCGGTTTGGCAGTGGGTCAGTAATAGTGTGAGGGGGCATTTCTTTAGGGGGCCGCACAGCCCTCTATGTGCTTGCCAGAGGTTGCCTGACTTTCATTAGGTACCGAGATGAGATCCTCAGACCCCTTATGAGACCATATGCTGGTGTGGTTGGCCCTGGGTTCCTCCTAATGCAAGACAATACTAGACCTCATGTGGCTGGAGTGTGTCAGCAGTTCCTGCAAGATGAAGGCACTGATGCTATGGACTGGCCCGCCTGTTCCCCAGACCTGAATCCAATTGAGCACATCTGGGACATCATGTCTCGCTCCATCCACCAATGCCATGTTGCACCACAGACTGTCCAGGAGTTGGGGGATGCTTTAGTCCAGATGTGGGAGGAAATCCCTCAGGAGTCCATCCGCCACTTCATCAGGAGCATGCCCAGGCATTGTAGGGAGGTCATACAGACACGTGGAGGCCACACACACTACTGAGCCTCATTTTGACTTGTTTTAAGGACATTACATCAAAGTTGGATCAGCCTGTAGTGTTTTTTTCCACTTTAATTTTGAGTGTAACTCCAAATCCAAACCTCCATGGGTTGCTAAATTTGATTTCCATTGATAATTTTTGTGTGATTTTGTTGTCAGCACATTCAACTATATAATGAACAAAGTATTTAATAAGAATATTTCATTCATTCAGATCTAGGATGTCTTATTTTTGTGTTCCCTTTATTTTTTTGAGCAGTGTATTTAAACTGCCAGCATGATCTAGTGAGTCAAAAACTGGCTGTGTATGCTGAGTTAACTACAATTGGTTAGGTTCAGAAAACTCACAAAGACCTAATTCAATATGTTGTATGAAATCCACTGTTTTATAAACTATGATTCATAACTTAATATACTGTGTGATTCTAGTCAATTGCATATCTACTACCCTATTATTAAAAGCTATTAAAGCCTCATGCTAAGACAGCTACTAGTGCACTCACTGAAAATAATGTACCGATGGACATTACCCTTCATTCACTGAGAACTTTGCCCCCACCTGGCTTACTATTGGATGAAGCAGAGATAATCTTTCATTCATTCAATATGTTTATATAGCTGTCAACTCAGGTCTTAAAATGGTAGCCATTTTGCAACTCTGCTCTCATTATAACCATACCAAGCTGTTTTATATGCACCATATAACTAACCTTGTAGGATTATTCAGGACAGTATGAAAGGGGGGAATGGGTGAGTTTTAACAATTTTAATATGACTTTGAAATTAATCTTCACTAATGCAGAGAATTCCAGTCATAATTCTATTGTCCCAATCAGCATTGTGTTTTTTGGAACAATTGTTGGAAAAGTATATCAGAAGATAGGGAAATAAATTCTGGTTGATACTTCATATACTACATATATTTTAGTTGTGTTGCCTAATGCAGACTAGGAGCATGTGGGTATAAATTCTGCAGGAAATAAAGTGCAGAAACAGATAAATTTTGTAGAGTGGTGCAGAAAAAACCCCCCACGTTCACTTTCTGATCTCAAGCCATCCCTCAAACATCTATAGGACCAGAAGTTATACCCTTATTCCCGAATTTGCCCATGCTAAACATAAAACCTGAAACGAAAAGGACACACAGCAAACTAGCTAATCTCAGAAAATGGGGGAGGGGGGATTGCCTGTGTTTATGGGCAATCATTGCAAAACCCATTTAACTAAATAAATTCGGAAACGCTCAATTCTAGATGTCAGGAGTTTCCCTACGGGGAAAAGAGGGCAACCCCATGAAGTTGCTTCCAACTCGGTATCTACTCGGTATCTCGGTATTCTGCCAGCTTGCCGAGTCCATTCCTGGGCCCTAAATCCCCACCGATCCTTTTCTCCCATCCAGTAGTAGCGACTCTTACGAGGATAGGAAAGCCTAACCCTCCCGTCGCCTCTCTAGCTGCGCCTGCGGGAGAGCCGGGAGAGTAGGCCTTTCACAGCAGCGGCTTTGCGTAGAGAGGGTAGCCCTAAGCGCTTCGGTGAAAGTGGGCTAATTCCTGAAGAGAAGACAGCGGTTCCTCCCGCGGCCTTCTCACCTAGCCTGCTTACCTGGCGGTATCGGAGGCGAAAAGGCCGCAAATATTGGGAGGCGATGCAAGGTCCGAGCGCCAGTTCCTCGATCGATTCCATGCCGGGTGCCGCTATTTCAGCCTCGGTTGACGGCGCGGGGTTAAACTTGCAGGGAAGCCGAGAAGGAAGGAGTGGAAAGAAAGAAGGGGAGCGCGGGCAAGAGAGGCAGTCGGCGAGGAAATGTATGCGGAAACTAGAGAAGAGCGCGCGATGCGCAGGACAACGCTATCTTCCTATGGAAAAATACTTTGAATTCAAAGTGGAGGACAAGGTGTTATTAAAGTCCTTTAAGAGATAAAAGCTTGAGGGAGACCTTGTGAAATAGTTTGCACTACACTCTTCACCCCCACTTTGCATTGCAAGAGAGAGGACTGGAAATGGCACAAATAGCAGTTCTTAGCAGGTTTATCTATGTGATCCCTAGAAGTCAATAAAAAACTTGATGGCAAAGTATCAATAATTTCTGGGTGGTGGTGGTGGTCCTTGGTACTCTCTGAGCTTGGCTGTTTCTTGCAAACGTTTCATTAACCAAACATAGTGGTAGTTTCAGAGTACTCAGGGACTGCTAATGATTAGGTGATTATAGCTAAAGAGAGGTTCTGGGTGCCTTTTTTGGACTAGATAACAGAATAACAGAGTTGGAAAGGACCTTGGAGGTCTTCTAGTCTAACCCCTGCTCAAGCAGGAGACCCTATACTATTTCAGACAGGTGGTTGTCCAATCTCTTCTTTGAAATCTCCAGTGGTGAAGCACCCACAATTCCTGAAGGCAAGCTGTTCCAGATCTACACCAATTATATTAAGCTAAATTTCTTTATTTTTGGCACAGCAAGCATGGCCATTATTATTTATACACTGTGTTTTATGATTTGATATGTGCCATCCAGCCAGTTGTGATTTGTTCAGTACATTACCCTTAAGAAATTATGTCTTATTAGGCCATGATAATTCTTCATCATCTTTACTTCATCCTTGCAAAATTGACAAGTATTATTTCCAGATTATGAAGAAAGGGCTAGAAGGAAACAGTCAGAGAAGTTACCATAAAGCTGCCTGGTGAATTCTTTACTGGATATTGATAAGGATACTTGTCCAGTTCCTTTTATTCTATTTGAGGCTTCAGATGAAATAATGTTGCATATATAATCAACTTCTAAAAAATAATGCGCCCAAAATGACTTGTTTTTTAAGTTGTTACAAATTAATCAAATTGAACAACCCTACATTATTCCTTTTATTTTTAACATTTGCTGTATTTCTGCTTGTTTTAGTTAAGCTAGTAATAGCAAGGAGCTCTCCTAGGTATTAACATCCTTCACCAGACAAACCTTTAGCTTCCAAAATTTCAGCATCTTTTGCCCCATTTTAAGACCTTTCCTGTCATAGATGTTAAATGAATCACTGAAGTTAAGACAGTAGCATGGTTATTAAGTAAATCTGTCTTCCCCATTGACTTTGCTTGTCAGAAGGTTGCAAAAAGTGATCACATGACCCTAGGATCCAGCAACTCTCATAAATATGAATCAGTTGCCATCTGTCTGAATTTTGATCATATGGCTATCGTGGTCATAAGTATGAAAAACAGTCATAAGTCACATTTTTCAATTCCATTGTAACTTTGGTCACTAAATGAATTGTTGTAAGTCGAGGACTATCTGTATACAGGGATGTGTGGAAAGTTTTATATTCAGGGATTGGATGGGCTTTTCTCAACATTGATAATGATTTTGGTATTCTTCCAATCCTGTGAATAGCATGAATAAACTGAAGAATCTCAGAGCATCCTTCACCAAGAATAAATCACAGGATAGTAGAAAAATGTAACAACAAATATTGCTTTTTTGTAAGTGGTAATTACTATGTGAAAAAAAAATGTTAGTGTATTTCCTTGTAATCACAAATCTTATAACTAAGATTTGAAATACCTATTAGAGAGAGTTACTGTACCATTAGATTAAAGTCAACTCAGCAAATAGTATTAAAGAAAAAAAATATTTGTGTACAATGATTTGAAAATTGTTTCAAGATTGTGCCCCAGTAACAGAATGGATGCAGCAATTTAGATCATTTGTGCTAGTGTTTAAAAAAACTCTTTACATTTTGATAATTAGCCTCTGGAAAAGACAATTTGGCTATTAAATCTAGCACTAAGCACTGAGTATGCACAGTTAGTATACACAAGGATAAGATGATCCTCATACAATATACAATATTTAGTGGAGAATCCAGAACAGTGGAGTCAGAAATAGCCCCCTCAATCTATATATATAAAAGTGAAAAAGCACTCATGCATCATCACAAAATCTCCAGAACTGTAAAGCCTACAAACTTGAAATTTGGCACGTATGTTGCTCTTGGCTTCTAGGTGCTCACTAAGAAAGGATTTTTTGAAATGACCATCAGAGCATTAGTATTTCGTATATTATTATTAACACGCTCTGATGCTAAGGAGTTCTACTCCCCCTCCCCACCTGAAAAGAAATTATTCCAAATGTAAAACACAAGCAGAGGAGAGCAGTTTCAATTTTACTTTCACAGCAGCAAGCAGATTTACTACATAACACTTGAGCTAAGCTATGCCCAGGCGTGCTGTCTCCTTGCTCACACATCAAATACTGTTTGCATTTCCAAACATCCCTCAACTCTCATACACTGATAGGATGCTGGCCACACGAATACCCATGGATGCTGGTAGGCAGAGGCAGAATTCCCCCCCCCCCTTATTTTCCTCCTCTGTTCAAACGAATCTGTTCCTTCTACTGTAACACCAGTTAAAGGGAAAAGAGGCAAAAAATTCAGGAAAAGATTTACAGACGCGATTAGGAAAGCACAAGTAAGGGAAGCTGTACACAAATATTGTCAAACTCATCTCCAAGTCAGTACACAGGCTATAAAAAAGTATACATCTAATAATCCCTAGGTTAATCAGCCACAAATGAGATCAATGTCTTGGACTAATAAGTATTTGTCTAGTTTTCAATATGAACCTCAGATTCATTATTCCAGGGAAAAGGTTGTTGATCTCAGACCTGGGTTAACTTGTGCCTGCTGCCGTGCTCTGAAGTGGCAGGATGAGAGTCCCGGGATCTGCTGCGGTGGCGGTAAAGTCCAGCTCCCTCCCCTCAGCCCTCTCACCCACCAGCATCCAATGGCAAAGCATTTTCTTTCTGCTGTCCAGAAGTATAACAGATGCTTCCAAATGATGTCTTTTGGAGCCAGAGTGGTGAAAGGGGGAAATTTTATGCCAACATTCAAAATGCACTATTCTTCTTGGCTTCTAGATGCTCACTAAGAAAGGATTTTTTGAAATGACCATCAGAGCATTAGTATCTCCTATATGATTATTAACATGCTCTGATGCTAAGGAGTTCTACTCTCCCTCCCCACCTGAAAAGAAATCTCTTCCAATTGCAATTCAGCTAAGTCACACCCAGGCTCCTTGCTGTCTCCATGCTCACACAGCAATACTGTTTCAGTTTCCAAACAGCCCTGAACTCTCTCACACACTGACAGGATGCTAGCCAGATGAATACCGATGGATGCTGGTAGGCAGAGGCACAATTTTTTCCCCTTATTTTCCTCCCCCTCCTCTAATCACATAGTTTCGTAGTGAAGCACAGGTACCCTGCTAGTGTAGATACAAATGTTTTGAAGCCTCCATAGCATGACCATGTTCTTTTCTCTATTTCAAATCAACCAGCATACGTTTGGCATAATTCAGTGTGATTCTGAAATCAAAGTTGTAAATGTTCTAGTATGTAATAAAGCAAACATACACTTTATTTACTCAAACCTCTCTTAATTAGCTCACTTATCAGGATCCTGAATCTTTTATTAGATTTATAGAGGTATGGCCTTTTGAGTCCAGAGCAGTGGTTCCAGCAAATCTTGAAATTGCTGCTCTTCTAAAACATCCAATACTTTACCTTACAGCCCACTTCTAAGTTTCAGCATCCAATCTTTTTGTTGTTCTTTCTTTAAGAAGGATGTATTTTTAGGGGCTGAGGCTGGTTGGGTACAGCAGGTGAGCTTTTTATTTTAGTTGTAAATTAAAAGGAAGTTAAATGAGACGGTGTCAAGGGATGTGTTAATGGATGCTGGCACCTGGTGGCACATTACTGGGACATAGTTTTATGCTTCAGGGTATAGCTCTGAAGGTGAATTGCTTCCAACAAACTATAGATAAAAATAATTGAAAAAAGTATTTAACAAGTTTTGGTTCAAGAAAAACAAGCCAAAATTTCCAAATTCCTCTCTGTTATTCTAGTTAGTAAAAAAAGAAGACTAATTGGGATACGGAAATCATAGTTTATTAGCACCGAGCAATAGATTTACATACCATTCAATGATGCTTTACAGGAGATCCGGTTTGAGCTTCTTCAGCGATAGACCGAAATCTGCGTTCGTGCGCAGTTTCAATCTGTGCTTGCTGCTGGAGTGCCCCAAGCCAGCTGGTTTCGGGGCTAAGCCACCCCGTACAGGTGGTGAAGAGGGGGGAGACTGTCAGCAGGGTCTAGGAGAGCTGCATCTCTCCTTCCCAGCTGGCCATTACTCCCTTTCCCGAAGGCGGTTGTGGCGGTGGTCAGAAATGGCCACTTGAAAGAAGAACTCAACCGGAAAAGAATGTGCAGGAGGAAGATAAGAAGAGAAAGTTTTGGCTGACCGGGTCGAACTGGAAAAACAACAATACAAGGTACCCTGGAATTTGAATTATAAAGAACAACATTGTTCCCAAAGAAGACCTTGAAGCTGCGAATGAGAGAGGGAAGGGAAAGGATTTGGTGTTTTTTTTTCTTTTCTTCCCTATATTGACAACTAAGAGATTTAAGCAAGAAATCGGCAAAAATCTACTTTGACATTAACAGGTATTTAAGCTGAAAATAAAATGTCAAAGGGATAATAAAGATTTCTGGATTCTCAAAAACTTTTAAAAGAAGGAAAAAAACAAAAGGGTGGGATCTGGAAAAGGGGAGGAGACCACCTGGAAGTGAAAGGAATTAACAGTGAAACTTTAACAAGATTCCTAAAAGATACATTTTAACTGAAACTTTGTAACAAGATAAGAGAACCCCAGGAAGAGAAAGTGGAAAAAAGAAGTAAGAAGAAACAGCTTTGGATTATTTGGATTACCTGGTGATTTTTGGATTTTTGGCTATTGGATCTAAAGGACTAAAATCAATCGGGTGGTTGTTT